AATGTAGGTTAAACGACGTCGTTCCCCGAGGATGTAGGACGGCTATATACGCGGAGAACAGACCGCAGGTGCGCTGCAGTTGCTGGTTCATAGCGGTACTAGAAGGAACAAACGAGCAGGTAAGTGCCAGCTCCAATTCGAATAATTTATCTTTACTGTTAGACGTAAGACAAACAGACGGTGAAGAGGCGAGTGTAGTTCACGTTTTAGAAGGCGGTGTATCTGAATCCCATTGTAAAAGTGGTCTCAGAAGATAAACTAATAGCTTCTGAAGATAAAATACCCAGATCGAAACACTTTGGGCAAGCGATTAGCCCATATTGGAGCCAGATACGCTTAATGAAGGAGACCGACCTAAACCTGCAAAGGACAAGTAGACTATCCGCGGTTGTCGACTTTTTATCAGGTGTACCAACCGCGGTATTTGATTCTGCGCGCACGAACTATGTACACAGGAGAAAACATTTTCTGGCACCCGGATTACTACTCCGGCGTGGCTTTAAAGACTCTAGAATACCTTGTGAAATGTTGTTGTTATTAATCCAGCAGTTTCTCCTCTGTCGAGTGAGAGAATGTCGCATCCATCACAAACTCTGAAGCCAAAGCTCGCCTAAATAATATTCAATAATTCAGCCCGTACCGCAAAGAAAACACAACTCTTCACCATTAAAGAGATCGAATGGTTAACCCTTTGAAGCAGAAAATCGTCTGAATAAAATATTTAAGAATTCAGTCCGTACCGCGAAGAAAACACCGCACCTCACCATTACAAAGATTAAATGTTTAACGCCGTTTAAGGAAATAATCGCTGTTTACATTGAGAATCATACGTGTAGTTTCCGATTGCACGTGATTTATAATTGCTGTTTTGTATTGGTATAAAAATCTGTCTCTAACGCTGAACAATGAACATAGATTGAAGTTGTCTGAAAACAGAGTTTTGAGAAAAAAGTATTAATTAATTTGTAGTCTTTATTAAATATTATCAGATGATAAAATTATTTGTAATGAGATGGGCGGGGCATGTAGCACGCACAACCTAACACGAAACAAACAACAGAACATCGCTGTATCGTAATGCATTTTTTTTAAAGATTTTAACAAACCATCAGCGGATTATTTTAATATATTTTATCCCCGAAAAATTAAAAATTTAATGCGCATGACAACTATCATTTCCGTTGAAGACGTACAGTAGATTAAGTACAATCTGAGTGAACCTGATGATGACCGTTTTTGGTCGAAACATGTACGAACACTGGGAAATAGTGTTAAGTGTGAAAAATTGACAACTCAAGAATTCGTAAGCAACACACCGGAAAGAGGCATCACCGAATTTGGCCAGAGGATCTGAAGAGGCTCATTGGAATACCAAGAAGTAGATAGGAGGATAATATTAAAATGGATTTTCTAAAATGTAGGTGGATAGGTGTGGAATATATTAATTTGCGGTAGTAAGCCATCGGGATTTATAAAGAGAAGGGAATTTGTGAATTAGCTGAGAGATTAAAATATAATAAGTTAGTTAAACCCAGATTTTAATGTGAAATCGTGACTTGTTGCTGATCTGATGGATTTCTCTGTTAAACGAAATTACTTCTCGATGGAAATCAGTAGGTCAACGAAGTCTTCGTCGGTCACCGCTGTACGGTACTGTGCCTTGTTTTCTACGTAACTGATTCAGATGCCCTACACAAGAGGTCAAATCCAGTTCATCTAACTGTCACTCTGGTTGCCTAGCTTCACGGCAAAGTAAACACCAGCGAAAGAAGATGTCTGATTTTTATTCGCCACACGCTCGCAGACGTAGCAGCCAGAGACTTACAAAACTCAGCCTGAACCAGATACTGAAGACCTATTCACTGTTAAAACACGTGAGGCATACATTTACAACCAGGCTTTAAATGGTTTAATTGTTTTCTAAACGTTTGTCCGTCCCTGCCAAGCGCATTTCAGGGGGCAGAAGTTCACCAGCGTTTCAGAGGTCCTTGCTGCCGTGCTCACGAGTCATCGCCCTGATGATGGAGGCAGCAAGGGCCTCCGAAACGTTGGTAAACTCCTACCCAGATTACACGGTGTTAAAACCCACAAGACAGCCTTGTCAACTGTAATACAGCGACTGTACCTTCGGACATTACAAACAAGCAACGCGGTTTATAAAGGGTATGAGAGTTGTGGTCTGGAACCGCGTAATGTTTCTGCCAGAACGTGGGCCTAATTATGGCATTGACACTTTTAGGATGAAGGAGATATTCAACTTACAACAAGATTGTATTTGATGAGTTCATTTCAGTGCGTAGTTTGCGTAATTAATTTTCAAATTCTTCTCCCGGAGCAGAATTTATAGATGTCTTACTGCTCTAAAACTCGTAGGCGTGGAAAATGGAAATATTTAATAACTTTAGCGTCTATGAACTCGAGTAACTGTGGTAACAGCGAGCCTCTGCTGTGGTCTCCTTCCAGATAAATTACCGTTAACTCTGACGTCTGTCTCTCTTGAGTAGCCTCTGACAAGAGACTGTCATTGATCCGAAACCAGTCAACGTAGCTGCTACTTTGTTAAATCGACCATTGCAAAGACGACGCGGTAGTGACTGAGTAATATAAAACAGCGGTTAAATAATGATTAGCAGAATAAATTCAAATAACTCGAAGGACTAATCTCCTTCAGCGTCATTTCTTAAACCACGAAGGTCACTTCAATTATCCAAGACAGAATATTTGACACTCGCTGATTCTGATATAAAATTATTTTTAGGGAACTCCACTGACATTTAAAAACCTAAAATGGTCACATGATCAAGTTATATATGTGGAATAATAGGTTGATATATATATATATATATATAATTTAGATGACGGTGTGTTGTTATAAATAAGATACAGAGGTTTTGCTACAATTTTTTTTATACCAGTACAAATAAGTTAAAAGTAGCTACACGTTTTCATTTTTGGTTTTCTATGACTGTATTATCAGTTTATCAAATCTAAAACTTCTTGACGATGGAGAAGAGTCAATTGAATAAAAATTTTCTTGGATATTATCCATCGTCTAGTAAAGTAAATAAAATATAAAACGTAAAACGACGTTTCGGAGATGGGGCTCTAGGGATTAGCTCTATCTAGTGAGCCCAACTGAGTAGGAACCTGAAGACGGAAATAGAGCCCCATCTCCGAAACGTCGTTTTACGTTTTATATTTTATTTACTTTACTAGACGATGGATAATTCCCAAGAAAATTTTTATTCAAATGTATTATCAGTTGTCAAAATGCACTGGGAAAAGAAAAAATAAGTAAAGTTCAGCCCTAAGTTCCCCTTAAGTCGGCGCCTATGGCATTCCTTCAGTGAAATTAAGAATTAAGACTCTCAGCGTTGCAGGAAGAGAGCGGTTTCGGTTTGCAAGAAACAAAGTCTGCGACTCAGGTTATGCGAAATTATTGCGAAACATTTTCTGTAGGAAATGTAGTGCACGCTCAGTGCACGAATTACGTAACACCTTTGTTGAGACCGGATGTTCCGCGACGGAAGGCAAGAAAAGTGGCTAACCGGTTCAACATCTGAGAACGAACGAAGACTTCGAGGGCAGAGTTACGTAAGACGCTACGTCTGAAGCCTTACACGATCCTGGACTACAAAGTTAATGTTCTTTATGCTCTAAGACAGTGGTATTCAACCTTTTTTGTTCGCGTACCCCCAGATATAATTTCTCTTCAACTTTGTACCCCCCCAAAGTTGTTGGTGTATATTTCAAGTTATACATAGTATATAATCTACATCTAAAATAAATTAAATAAATTACATTACTGATTATTCAGTGCTTATCATAAAATAATATTTTTTTTAAAATTTCACGTACCCCCTAAGATGTCTTCGCGTATCCCCGGGGGTACGCGTAGTCCAGGTTGAATACCATTGCTCTAAGATATTCATTATCTTTCGCCGAAATAAAAAATCACTAGAGAAATTTTCGATTATGAAAATCACATAAAACGATTCTGACCGAAATGCGGCCTCGCTTAATTCCACGAAGAAGACTTAAGATCCGTTGGATCTGGCGATCCAACGACTAGACGCCTCAATACTCAACAATCATTCCTCATTCTTAACTTCTTAAATGATTTAATACGCCATCGTTCACGTCCTCTTTGAAATATGAACTTTATATATAAATATTACTTAGATAAACTTTGTGTTTCAGACTTTGTTAAAGGTTTTGTGTTACGAGGAATCTTTTCCGTCTACAAATTTATGAACAATGAAAAAAAAATGTAATACGATTTAATGTGGTGGAAACAGCGATTTTTTAAAAAAAGGCCACCAACCAACCAATCATATATCATAGGTTATTATATTTTATTTAGTGTTCTGTCTGACGACAGGTCCATATGAACAGGATCCTTCCATCCTTTTCTCGGACTGGGACCTGTTCATATACGTTCTTGGCAGATGATCCAGAAGTGGTTTGCCATTGCCTTCTTCTGTGTGTGAATGGAGTAATTGTTGGGATGCCACGGAGGAAAACTCCGTGTTGCCTAGACCACGGCCTTGCCCAACACAAGTTATAAATTCGGGCACCGCCGGGAATCGAACCCGAGACCCCAGGATTACAAGGCCAGCGTTCTAACCGCATTAATCAATCAGTTTTTAATTCAAGTCAAAACCCTCTGAATGTACTATGAGTTCCTGACACACAGGGGAATCAGTACAGAACATGTTAAAAACACATTATCGTGCATTGCAGTGATAACATTACAAATTATGTACATTACATTGCAATTTTCTCGATTCTTTCGTGAATAAGAAGGTTAGTAGGCGAGAGTCTATGAAAAAATCTTATGCTGATGATATACGCTTATGTCTTTACATTTTCTGCTGTCTAACGACGACATTTAAAAAAATGATAACGAACCAAAACTTGTTTATTACATAAACAAACAGAATTTAAAACATAAAATTACAAGAAAAATACCCCCCCCCCCCCAGAAACGTTTCAGAAAATAATCTGGAGGTTTTACATTCTCATTGCGATGAAGACGTCTTCAGTCCTGAGAAGTCGTGAAGTCTTTAGACCAGGGGTTACCAACCTTTTTCGCTGACGTACCACGAATTACAATTTA